GCTGTTCCCAGGGGCTTTCTGGTGTGTTATCTTGTCTGCTTCCTCGAAGGGCTTCCTTGGAGGACTGGGTAGATCCATTGTTGCCATTTAAAGCTGAGGTAAAGAGCCCTCCATGCCTTGCTCCAGGTCCCGCAGTTAACAAGCCTTGAGTAATACTGAACCCATCTCTTCTGAATTCAAGTCTCATTTCCCAACCTGATGTGGCCTCTGGCTGGAGGCAGCTTCTTGAGAGGCGATGCGTCTGACGTCCTGGCAGAAGAACCCTCTGTGGAGGCTACTTGATTTGCAAAGAGATGGGGAAGGGAGTGGGGCAGGTGCTGCTGAGAGTATCAGAATTCCTAGGAGGGTCTGCGGTTCTCCCACGAGTGATTTTCCTTGGGGGAAAGATGGTGTCTCCTGTCCAAGCTTGGATGAGAGGACTTGTGGAATGCATTTAAAACGAAGAAGGCAGACAAGGCTTGTGGAAATGGGTAACTGATTCAGCTAAGGACACTTACCAGCTCTCCCCTCAATCTTTTCTTCAACACATTCACTGTTTTGCCTAAGTTTACAGCACCTCAGGTGGCTGACAGCCCAGCCTGCTGACAGGTGAACGTGTCTCCCATGTGACCTATATAGGGGAACAAGACGAAGTCTGACTCCAAGCAGCTGATGACCTCAGGATGGACTAGGGGTTGAGAGTCCATAGACCCCCAGGTGATCTGTGAGGGGCTGGGGATACACAGCACGGCCAGGGAGACTGGCTGGGAGAAGGTGCTGTTCCTCCCTCTGAAGCCTTGTGGCAGCTGCCAGCTCAGACTTTGGACCATCACCCTGACCAGACACCAGGTCCCAGCCACTGGGTGTCAGACCCCGGGGAGCTGAGGACATTGTGAGGGCCTGACACAGGCTGTGCACCCGTGTTGTCTAATGACTGAGGTGCCTCCCACTTCCTCAAATGCAAATTTCAAGTACAGGTGAGTATTGTGATGAGTGAAATACCAATTTCAATGTTTTATTAATACATCCTCGTTCAATAGATCCTCACAATGTATACTAACATTTAACATGTACTGAAGTATAATGAGGACAAATGGAATTATCTGACACTGCTATGGGCTGAATTGTGTCCCCTCTCTGAATCCGCATGTTGAAGCCTTAACCCCCAGTAGCTCAGAATGTGACTGTATTTGGAGATGAGGGCCTTTAAAGAGCTGATTAGGTTAGAAAAAAAAAGGTTATAAGGTTGGGGCCTAATCCAGTCTGACTGCTGTCCTTATGAAAAGAGGAGATTAGGACAGAGAAAGGCACACAGGGACCACCACATAAGGACACAGCCAGAGATGGCTGTCCGCAAGTCAGAGAGAGGCCCCTGGAGAAATCAACCCTGCCGACACCTTGATCTTGGACTTCCAGCCTCCAGAAATGTGAGAAAATAAATGTCTGTTATTTTAGCCGTCTAGTCTATGGCAGTCTGAGCAGAACAACAGACACTAAGGGGGCTGTCCTGCTTGGAAAGTTGTCTAGCACTGTTCCCACTTCTGATCATGTGTGGAGTTAAGGAGTCACATGACAGGCTGGAGAGGCTGGTTGGCTGGCCAGTTCCCCCCATCCCCACCCCCAGGCATCCGTGTGAGAGACTTAGCATTGATACTCTCAGTCTTGAGATGCTTGCCTTTGGTGGGTGAACCCCCTTTTGTTGCAAGCCAAGCCCATCGAGCTAAACAGAAGGCAGCAGACAGGATGGGAGAAACCAAGGCTGCAGCCAGGACCCCAGCCGATGACCACCCACCCACCCAGGACGCTGGCCCTCATCTTTTACCCCGCAGCATGGATGCCTCTGTGGCTGCACTGGAACGGCTTCCTGTAGGCCCAGCTTCTCACCATCACTGCTCCGGGGTCAGACTCTGGATGGGCTGAGCCCAAGCCATGTGCTTAAGCCCTCATGGCAATGTTGGCTGGGAAAAGGGACTGGTTTATGTTTTCAGCTTTGGCACCAGGACTGCCTCCCACAAGATGCATCCATAGTACGACAATGTTCCACAAATGAGGGATGCTGGGCAGCCGAAATAACCACAAATGTCTTCTAATATTGCTATAAGTGTGTTTGTACACACACACATGGAATGGGGCTGGGGATCACCTCGATGAGCAGAGCAGTGAAGAGAATGAGCTTTGGCAGCACACAGATGGTTGTGAGTGTTGGCAACCTCACTTACTAGCTTTCGAGCCTGGCTTTTTTTTTTTACAACCTAAGCCTCAGTTATCTCACCTGTAAAATGGGGCTAATAACACCTACATCATAAAACGGTAGACATGATTTTTGTGTTTGTTGATGCTATTATTAGAAATATCACGATAGCCATTTTGTGACATGCGTCATGGGCTCCAGGACTGACTACAAGATCTGATTAGATTGCTCCTCCAGATTTTTCACCTGTCTCTCTGGATGCAGACGGTCTTTTTCACCTCAAAATAAGAGCCATCGACATGCAGGTGCTTTCAAAAGGATTAACCTAAGCTCGAAGCATGGGATTTTTATTGCTGTTTCATCCTGTGATGTGTGGCCCACCAGCAGTGTTTTACAAAAGCTACGGCTCTTTGGGTACACCCAAAGCCCTCTGTAGCTCTCACCTTCAGAAAGATAAATAGAAGGGGAAGGAAACTGCGAGAGTAAGAGAAAGTAAAACAATTGAGTTTCCCACTGGAATTTGCGAGGAGATGGAGTTTGGGTGTGGGAGTGCGGACGGCTACTTCAGTGGCTGGTTTTATTAGCAAACGGGCCGGTTATGAGAAGTCACCGGCATTTATGGACATGAAATAGTTACAGGGTGGGCACCGGGACACAGAGAGACTCAGCGCATGTGGAGGGCCAGTGTGTGCCCAGCCAACGCACACAGCACCCTTTCTAATGGGTCCTTTAACCACAGGACTTCTGTACCTTTTGTAAATAGATAATGCTGCTCAGAGTGATCCTGGCATCATGCAGCTCCAGAAACCGTCCAAGAAAGATGGGATCGTATTCAATAGGTTTTTACTGTGAAGTGTATTTCATTGTGTTCTAATTCTTGGAAACGTAGGGAGGAATGAGTGATGTAAACACCAATTCTCTATCCACCACAATGCTTAACAGAGCAGAATACCTTGTTCTTCTACCTACTCAAATAGTTACCTAATAATAACAACTAATAGTTACCTATAAAGTTGGCACAGCGGACTCCTTTTCTTTTCTTTTTTTTTTGTACCAAGAGAAAAATAAGTACGTGGTCAATTTTTGGCTTGCATCACATTGGAAAAAAAATTTACCTAAGCTCCAATGCTCCTTCTGTCATGGTCTGACTTAGTCATACCCTGGTAATGGGGAAACCAGAGGAGGGGCACTGATGGGCACAGTGCTGCGAGGGAGCAGAGAGAGCTGTGTAGAGGAGACGGATTTTGAAGCAATAGGTTTGAAGGACTGACCCATAGAGTTAATAGGTACCTCCTGAGCACTGACAATGTGCCACGCACAGTTCTAGGCACTGGGGATACAACAAAGAATGGAATGGACACCACCCTCGCCCTCGTGGTAGGCATGTGGTTTTCAGGTTATTCTAGGCCAAAAGAACGAAAGTTGAGAAAGATGGAGGAAAGAGTGAGTGTTGTGTAAGCGAGCTGCAAGTGGGCTTTTTTTTTTGGGTGGGGGAACATTCATTCAATTCAACCAGCATTTACTGACCACCTACCATGATAGGTTTTGTGCCAGACACTGGGGATACAGTGATGTTCAAGCCCCATTCCCAGCACTTGAAAAGTTCAGAGTCTGGAGTTTGGAGGTGTAGACAACACATCTGAGCTCTGGAAGAGGGAGGCTCAGAAAAAGATGTAAACCTTGCTGGAGACGGTGTGGAAGGCTTCCTAGAAAGAAAAGGGGAGGGGTAGGTCTCCATCTCAAAGGATGAATGAGAGCTTGCCAGATAGCACAGGGAGGAGAAGATTCCAGGAGGAGGGAATGGAAGATATCCATTGGGCGAGGGGACACAAGAAGGCAGCTCTCAGGCAGGGAAAGGCTGATGGTGAAGAGCCCTGATGGGAAATCTGGTTTCAATTTAATCTGAGACACGATGGGGCCACAGCCAGGTTCAACGAGTAACTCAATGAAAATTACATTTGGGGTTGATGACGTCTGAGTGCTTGTTCAGAATCATGTTCTTAAACAGGGAATGCCTATTAGCAAGCTAATTAAGGCCCTTAATAGGAAGGACCATAATTTGTTGGGTTTTAGAAGACTTAGAGGCTGAGGAACAACAGTACAAAACAAATATTGACTGAGTTGAGGTTTGCCAAGAAATTCAAGTCTGCACTGCACTAATAAAAATGAAATGAAATACCTTTCTGTGAAGACTAACACTAAGGCAGTGATGACTATAATGAATCAGAAATCCTTTGTCCATAGACCATTCTGGTTGACAATAAGAGATTAAACATTACCCTAATGGTAGGGAAATTATTAATAGCTGCTACTTATTTATAGCCGTTTATTGCCAGTCTCTGGGGAAGGGGAAGAAGCAGAAAGGTGCAGGTACAGATGGCTTTGAAGCACGGCAGCAATGCCTGTCCTTTCTCCTTTCTCTTCTCTCCATTCCCTTTTCCAAACAGAAAAGCTGGGACTCGGTGCCCAGGTGGAGGAGCAGGGAGGGAGGAGCAGAGCAATCTGGGAGGTGGCTGAGGAAAGCAAGAACAGCAGTTCGGATTCTTTATGTAGTCCTTGGTGAAACTTTCCTCTCATTTAAATTTTTCCCGCCTTGTAATTTAGTGAAGTTGGAGCTTCAAAGTGTCAAAGTGTCTCTGGACATCACCTCCAGCCGTGGCTCTCAGCCCTGGCAGGCACCAGAAGCACTTAAACAGAAGGCTGAAAACTGCACGTTCCCACTCCACCCCCTTTCCTGGGTATTCTGTTTCCCTAGATGATGATGAGTAGAAATCCAAAATCTGTAGTTTGTAAAGTCCCACGGGGGAGTCAGATACCTCGCCTGGGTGGAGGCACTGACTTGCAGGCTCATGGCTGCTCTCTGGGCTGCTCTTTAAGTTGTAAATGGCCCTGGGGAGGTGGAGCTGCTCTGGACTGTAGGTGGCTGAGTGAACTGCTTTGAATAGGCTGCCTTCCCAGACATGAGCTAGATTTGCGTGACTTTATGGTGTGGGGAGTGGGGGTTCAGAGGAGGGCTCTGAAAGAACGTTCTGGAAGGGGTTTGGAGCATGGACGCGTTGGGCATGTGAGGGCAAGGAAGAAGGGACAAGGTAGGAAAGGTCTCAGTGGTAGGAAAGGCTTCCAGGAGGGAGAAGAGAGGGCACCCAAGGTGCCTCCTGAGAGCCCTCTCCTGCCTGGGGATTTATTGTGCGCACCACACCCCTGGACCTCAGGGCTCGCTATCTCCAGCCTCTCCCCTTCCCTGCGGTGGGTGGGGCATACCAGCCTGCTAAGGAAATTCTTGGAAAGAAACCGCAGTGCAACCATCTAAGACTGGTACTTTTCCACTGCATGTGTTGATCTTTGCTTCTAGAACTCCTGGCACGTACACCCCTATGATCTCGTAAAGGGCTGGGGCTCTCCGGAGGGACTTTAAGCTTTGGCTGCACCCTGTCACGGTGGCGCTATGAGTCTGTTGACGTCACCACCTCAAGTTTTTCTCCTCTGACTCATTCCCCATCTTCAGTTCTCCTCAGTCTCGTGTCCACCCATCTTCAGAGATTTGTGATGAAGGGATGTGTGTTTTCACTGTGGCCGACGCTGCCACCTGCCTCCCAATTTTCCTCTTGTCTTCAGAAACTAGTTATTTTTACGAAGGAGCATGCCTCCCTCCAAACCAATCTGAAAACAAATATGGTTTTGGCATAACGAGCCTGCCTCCTCTAAGGGAACGGCTGCTCAGTCCCAGTAGCTGTCACTTCCTTCACGTGAGTGGGGCATGTGTTTCCTCTCGTGGTTCCTCTTTGTTTCTCTGCCCTCCTCGCTCTGTGGAAATGAGCGTGGGCGGGACTCCTCGCTCCAGACCCTGCGTATCTGATCCCTCTCATCTCCCGGAGCCAATGCGCAGAAAGAAGATTCTGACCACGTTGTTGTCTTCCTTCAAAATCTCCTCCAGCAGCTTAAGATTTTTGCTGCAAGACTAAGGCTGGCTTCCTGTCTGTCATCCTTATCAATGTCTTCTCTTTCTGGGGTGAGTCTGGTGGGCATTGCTTTAGTTTTGTCAATTCCATACATATTCTGTGCTCGGGGTCATGAGGGAGACAAAGCTAAAAGGGACTCATCCCACTTCAAGAAGAGATTTCCACGTGATGGAATTTTCTTTCTCATGAAATAACCTGAGAATAAACAGTCTAGTGTTGGGAACCCGGGCTCCTTCTGTCTTAACTTTGCCCCCTTTGCATGATCTGAGATACTTCTCAACCAAGTCTTGATCCAGTCCTGATCCGGAAGTTGCCTTTATCACTTCTGTTCTCATCCCACTTGCTAGCTGTTAGTTACATGGCCATACCTAGAAGCAAGGGAAGCTGAAAAATGTAGTCTTTTTCTCTGAGTGTCTGGAAACTCAACTGAAAACTCCATTAAATATTCAAAGATTAAAAAAAGTTTCATGCATGTATGAAAAGGCTGTGTATTTCCTAATTATTAAGTGCATTTTCTAGTTACTGGGTGCAGAATATTGGGTGTATATGGTCATTAGGTCAAGCTTGTTCATCATGTTGCTAATTTTTGTCTGCCAAACTTTTCAACAATTGAGACCTATCAATTGAAATTTCCTCTGTGATAATGGATTTGTCAGTTTTCCCATGAATTTCTATCTTTTTTGTATTTTGAGCTAGTTAATTTGATGCATTCATATTTCAAACTGCTATGTCTTCTTGGGGAACCAACCCTCTCTTCACTATTGAGTGATCCTCTCAAGTCCTAATTATGCTTTTTCTCTTAAAGTATATTTTACTAGTGTTGACATCTGTCTGCTATCTTTTTTCATTCTTTAATGTTTAAGCAGTTTATGTTTTTAATGCTTTAGATATCTTACCAATAGTACATACATGGATTTGTTTTTTAAATCTAATCTGACAATTTCTGTCTTGTCATTGGAAAATTTAGACCATTTATATTTATTTAATTTTTGATGTATTTAAATTTGTTTCTGTCTTCTTAATTTTAATTTCAGTAAAAAGATTAAAAATAAAAAATTTGTTTTGGTTGCCTAGAAAATTCCATATCTGTGTCCTTTCTTTAGCAAAATAGCTTTAGCATGCTTTCATATCCTTTCAACATCTCTTCACTGTGTTAATATCCATCCACCACAACAAAAAATTCCAAGATGTGTGATCCTCTTCATTTCACATATTTCTTGTACACTCTTCTGGATTTGTTTTTCTTATTTGAGTATCCTGTCTTCAGAAAGTGTTTTGAATGTGAGTCTTAGCATGGCTGACTTCCTCAAGCCTTGTATGTTGGAGGATATTTTTATTACATCCTCATATTTGAATGATAGTATTGCCAGGAATGGAATTCTAGGTTCAAAGTACCCTTTTCAATGCTTTAAATCTAATACTCCATTATCTTTTTGCATTCAATGTTGTGGTTAAAAAAGTGATGTCTACTTGATTATTTTTCCTTTGTAGATGATGTGCTCTTTTGGAGAGTTTTCAGAATTTTCTCTTTGAGTTGATATGCTTAAATTTAATTCTAACATGTGTAAGTGTTGGAGTTTCCCTCTTTCTCCTCTTGGAATTCTGTACACTCTTTCAATTTGGAGTTAGTTATCTTTAATTCTGAGTAATTTATCTCCATTAATTCTTCAGATATTTCCTTCTGTCCATTTTAATTTTATTTTATGTTTTATTTTGTGACTCCTGTTTTTGAATGCTGGTGATTCTACAGATTTCTTAACTTTTCTTTTATTTTCCATTTCTGAATATTTCCCTATTTTCTTTCTGGAGACATCCTCATCTGATTTTCCAACTCATTAATTCATTCTTCAGCTGCATCACTTTAACCAGATAGCAGATTTACTGTGTTATTTATTCCCATTCTATAATTTTCCTATCTTGTATTTCTCCCTATTTTTGTTTTATATCCCTATGTTCTCATGAACAAGGAGAGAAAAGGGGGAAGCCCAGGGAAAAGCCTCAGGTAGGGCACCGCCATTTGTTGTCACCCACCAAGCAACTCTTGAGGCCAAGTCTTCCCCTTCAGATTCCCAGGGCGAAGCAGTGCTGGGAAGAGGAACTTACAGGTTTTCATTGACCAACCCTGGGGTTGGGAGAGCAGGGAATGCAGAGGCTACTCAGCCTTCACTTTTGTTCAGAAACATTTCACTGGACAGGTCTTCTGGACTGCCTTAATTTTGCTCCTAAACTAGCAATCTGGGCCATTACTACCAATTTCTAAAGGGCGAGGGCAGCTGTTGATTGTCCCAAGGCAAGGGTAGGGAAGAAGAGCAGAACTCAAGCTGCTTTTTCTACTTTATCCTCCTAGAGTGGCACCTTAGCTGTCCTTGCCCCAGGCTGCAATACCTCTCCCCCACCTAACACACACAGCAGTTGTTTTCCAGAGTTCTCATAGTTTTTCCTTTGGATCCTGGATTTTGTGTTTCTTATCTCAATTGAGTTGATTCTGAGGGAGACAGGTAATGATTTGTGTAAATTTTCCATTGTGGCAGGAATTGGAACTTCAACAGAGCCCTCTGCAACCACAATTCTATTAGTTAAGCCAGAGGAAAAAGAATAATGTGTATAATATATAATATGTGTAAATTACATACTATAATATTATATTAAGATTATATATGAGATATATATATAAAGATTACTATAGGAATTATTAGATTTATATAAGTTAAAATAAAGTATAAATGTATCTTATTTATACAAAATACATTTATATATCTTATATAGTATAAAGTTTATCTAAATCTTACATACGATTTGTATATATGTATATATTTATATTTATACTTATATTTGTATTTATATTTATTAAAAGGGACTCTATGGTTTAATCACTCTCTCTAGTGCCTACAACCTTGACCTTCAGGAGCAGGAAGTACCCAATTATTAATGGGATACGTCGTGAATCTTTCACTGCACTTAGTTCAGTGTGTTCACTTAGACAGCTTTTAAAAAATTATTTCAACCAAAATGTGGATATGATTTTAAGTGTTCTCCTGAAAACTAATGCATGGAGAAGCATGACCAAAATAAGACACATCTGACAGCAAAAGTCTGGGACTCAGCTGGACGCCAGTTTTCATCTGTAGAGGAACACGTTGGGTCCTGAGCTGTGGACCGTTTGCCAATCAGATTTAAGGATCTCATATGAAGTTCAGAATAAGCTTTTGCTTGTACCCCCTGCTCTAAATTCCTCTTTGGTGCCCAGTGGAAAGCTGGCAAGAAGCAGCTGATGGGGGCAGATGGGGTCGGTCCTGGATCTCTGCTGTGCTCTGACATCCGAACACCTCCGAGAAGATAGCAGCTCTCAGCAATTGGCACAGGGTCTCCATGAAACCCTGGCACAGTCGCCCGGTTCCAGACTGCCACACAGGCAGGCAAGAGACCGTCAGTGAAGGCGGCTGGTGCTGACAGCGGCGTAGAAGTGAGCCAGAGGCCAGCTGGAGATTGTGCTGAGGGCAGCTGGGAACAGGTCTGTGTCTCCACCAAAGTGTCAAGCCGTCCTCTGACACTGCTCTCAGGGGTTTTCCCACTGTCCCAGGTCTGTGTGATTCACCCCCGCCTGGCTGGCAGGGCGGAGGGGCAGTGAGGCACTTCCCTTGTGCTGTGGCTTCATCAGGCTCGCAGGGTGGTCCCTGGGCTCCTCCAGGTGGTCTTGGGTGGGTGGAGACTGGCATCCAAATTACCCATCAGACTGAATCTGTTTTCAAGGTGTTTTCTCCACTGGAGATGTGAATTTCCATTAAAAAGTGCAAAGTGAGCATTAAAACATAGCCATGATGACAGTTATTTGCCCAGAAAAAAACAATCCCTAAGTTGTATTTTGTGTGTTGGGGAAAGAAGAGGCATCAAAGGGTGAATAAAGGCAATTCGGGACCTCAGCATGCAGGTGGTTTTTATGGTTTTGGTTTCAACAAAGATCCCCGGAGATGGAATGGGTCCAGTGATCACTTGAGGGTCTGGTATGAACCACACTTTTAGTTCAGCTAAATTTAATTCAAGTAGGAACCGTGTGCCTACTCTGTGCCAGGCACTGCATTAGGTGCTGGCTATGCAGCATTGGACAGAAGGACTGTCAGTTCCTGCCCTCTTGGACCTTACTGTTCAGTGGGAGATGCAAACAAATTTCCCTTCCATGGCGGTGTGATGACAGGAGGGAGCTGCCTCTTCCTCAGCTAGACCCAGGGACTCAAGACTCCCAAGACTCAGTTCAGGCTCCTAACCCACCAACCTCTAGTTGTTTGACTTTGGGCCAATTATTGAAGATTTTTTAAACCTTAGTTTTCTCAGCTAGGCTATGAGGAAATGACATCTGCCCTGTCTGTGTTGTGGGTTATGAGGATCTGATGAGATAGTTTATCTGAAAGCCCTTTTGAGTTCGTAAGGAGAAATTTGAATCGTAATTGGGACTACCGAGAACTTGATTTTGAAGTTTTCAATAATCATCTCTTGCTGTTCACGGCCACATGGTGACACCACTTGTTATCAGTGGGATGTGAAAACCAGAAAAAAACTACAGTCAAGCTCTGTCCAGTACGGGAATCACTAGCCACGTGTGGCTGTTGAGCACCTGGAACAGGACCAGTCTGAACTGAGACGCACGCTAGAATGTGAGCTTCATAAAAACAAGAAAAGAATGTAAAATGTCTCACTAACAGTTTGTAAAAATATTGATGACATGTTCACATGAAAATACTTTGGATATTGGGCTACATGAAGTATGTCATTGGAATTGATTTAATTACTTATTTAATGTGGCTACTAGCAAAACTTAAATTATATATATGGCTCACATTATATATATATTTATTGGAATATAGTTGATGTACAATATTATGTAAGGTCCAGGTGTATAAATAGTGACTCACAATTTTTAATGGCTATACTCTGTTTATACTTATTATAAAATATTGGCTACATTCCCTGTGCTACACAATATAACCTTGTTGCTTATTTCACATGTGGTGGTTTGTATCTCTTAGTCCCCCGTCCCTGCATTGCCCCCTCCCCCTCACGTTACATTTTTCTTGGAAGCACAGCTGTAGAGGTTCTCTTTGGAAATTTTATTTCGTACACAATATACATAAACAGTCATATAATTTCAGAGGTATTGCAGATCCCTCAAAGTTCCATCTGTGGAACTCTAAAAATGGCTATTTTAGAGGATGCTTTCCATTTACACTCAAAATACATACAATGAATGTTCCTATGAACTTAGAGCACTTTAGTGAGAACCATTACTGTGTTCCTCCAGGCAGGAAATGGTTTCACCATCACTGTCGTCAAAGAGGCTGCACAGAGGCCTCTTCTGGACTGTGTGCGATGCCCCTGGGTCTAGATGGGCAGGTCTCTGCAGATAGGTGACCAACACATCCCTCCAGTTGTGGGCTGCAATGAAGACGCCCTGTAGTTTCACTCCTGAAGAGATTTTCCAGGTACCAAGTGAACAACCACAGTTTCCTCCCACCCTCGAATCTTTTTCCTTCTTGTGGAAAAAAGACAAAACAAAAAGGAAGAACCATTGACACAACATTGTAAACTGACTATAACTCAATTAAAAAAAAAAAAAGGAAGAATCACCCTTTCTGTTCCTTTTCTATTCCCTAGCTCTCTGAACCCACCCCTCCCTCCAAGTCATTTGAGGTGTCATCCGTACCCATCTTATCAGTTGAGGAACGAAGGCTCAGAACTGCTCAGAAACTTGCCAACAGTCACGTGGGCAGGAGACTTGGGATGCGAACGCTTTCAGGGTTGGTTGACAGCTGCTGCCAGAGGAAGGAGGAGGAAAGCAGGCAGGAGGGAGTCAGCACCCGGCCCTGTAACATCTCCGGAGAGGCGGACACTGGCCATGCGCACTCCCTTTCCTTATTCTGAGAAGGGTTTGATTGTGACAGAGGATCTGCCACAGACCAGACGTAGGGGATTCGCTGTGGTTCTTGGGGAGCCAGCTTTTCATGGCTTCCGTTCAGAGGAAAACGCCTGCTAGATGCTTAACAGCAAAAAACCCCAAGCCACAAACAAGCAAACAAAAGACGAATCCATAGAATTTACACAGCTTCGGTTAGACGTGGGTCCCTGTCTAGAGGAGCCAGGGAAACGAACCATTTCATCCACAAGAGATGGGCTGGGATTGCGGTCTACCCTTAAACATGACACCACTGAGGGCTTCTGATTCGACTGTGAGCAAATGAAACGCTGGTGTTTGGTCCAGTCCTGGAGGAGTTTGTTAGCTGGCTTGGTCCCCAAGCAGAAGCAGCCGATCACTGCTCAAGTTCTACGAGTGGGATGCCCAGTGGCAATATAAAGGGCAAACAGACAAGAAAGTCTTTCTTTCTGAGAATGTTTCCACTGCAGTTAGGTTAGAAACTGATCCAGGGGAAGATATAAACTAGCTCTTTCATTTAGCAAAATAAAATGCCTATCCACTTGGTAATCTGTGCGGTGGAAGTCCTAGCCAGAATCTTGTTTTTAAAGGTTTTGTCTAATTGGCCACCCCCACCCTTCTCCTCCCACTGCCCAGCATCAGGCTGCACAAGGATGGGGACAGTGGCCCTAGCAGGTGCCGCCACATGGTGTGTCCTTGTGGAAGAGCTTCCGTGGCGTTTATATTAAATAACCACTGGCAAAAAGTGACGTGTTGCTGACAGGAGGTGTCTATGTTTCCTGGGGTTTTGTTCCAGTTTTAATGACTGTGGATAATGCATGGAATGTCTCAATTTTCAGAGTTGTGTTTTTTCATGAGACACTGCCACTCTTTCCGGGGAAGGAACTAGACATTCCTGACACATGATTTGGCAGGTCTCAATCACAACTGCTCCAATATTGGCTTTCAGGAACCCATTCCAGATTGGCCCAGACTGTCAAACCTTGTTCAGGCACCAGTTAGAAGAGTACTTCTGGGCCCAGGCCACGCTCTGAAAAATACTTGCTGAGTCTCCCCAGGGAGTCTGGTTGAGGAGGGTAAGTGATTTGCTCTTCAAATGACCTTTCCCTCCTTAGAGAAGAGCATATAGTATCAGAGTGCTCGAGGTGCTCCTGGCTTCCCCATAAGAGTTTTATCAAGTGATGGCATCAAAGACCACCCCCCACCCCGCCCCATCCATGGACCAAGTGAAGAATGTTTTGTCCCAGCCCTGGGACATCTGTCCTCATTAGCTAATTCAACTGGTGGCACCTGTCAAATTAAAATGGAAATTGGCTTTAAGGTAAAAATACATTATGTTCAAGGGTTGGGGCCGTGTCTTCTTCTGAGCAGTGCCTCAAATCCCAGTATTCCTCAAAAGATGGTCTGGAGACCCGCTTGCATCAGAATCAGGGGGTCTGTTTCAACTGCAGATTTGGGGGCTTCTCACCACCTACCAAGTATCTGGGAACTAGAGCCCAGAGTTTGCATTGTACCAACCCCCAGGCAATCCTGATAAACCCCAAAGTTCGTGAGCCACTGGGTGCAAAATATACTTTCTATATTTTTAAGCCATCACAGCAAATTGTGGTAGCCAAGAATGAAATTGGTTTCTTTTTGAGTTTGTTTAACTGTATGTCTGTTGCAGGGAAAGTTCGAACCACAAAAGACAGGGATCACGCTAAGCCTTTGCTTTTGCTGATTGATACATGTATCTTGTCTTTTCACAGTTATGGGTCCTTATCTGCCCAAGAACAGTAGTTCTAAGAAGTTGTTTCTGTGTGTCTTCTGGGAAGAATTTGTCCTTCAATATATGTGATTGCAACATGCTGGTAAAAGTAAAAGAAAAACAATAAAACTATTTTGTTGAGTTTCTCATCTTTTTCTGAAGCAGTCTTTAAGTGATAAAAAAAAAGCAATTTAGTGAAACTTAGTCTTCATGACTTTACATAACAGAATGGATATACACTTGTGTATGCATATGCTGATTCCCGTACACGGGGTTACCCAAATCTGAGTTGCCTGGTTCTCATAAAAAAAAAAAAAACTTTTTTGACTTGACACTATGCACAAATCTAGAATGGTTTGTTGTTTAAAGAACACTGATGTTCGATCAAGGTCTCAAGGGGTCAAAAAGATCATTGATCATTTTCAGATACATTTGGGTGGATCTGAATTGCTTGCTTTAGGACAAATTTAGTTTTAGTTTCAAACTTTTTAGTTTTAAACTATTTGGTTAACTTAGCCAAAGTCTATTACATTTGAAGCAAGAGGAACAAAAGACTACCCCTCCCCTACAAAGTAACAAATGGATCTTCAGACAAATAGTCCTTAATTACTGTAAAACAGCTCTAGCTCTAAAATATCCCAAGCCATGGCATCTGAGGACCAGCCACATGAAGCCAATAAGACCGAATGAAGGCACCAACGTTAAACTGAAGCCACAACATCTTTCTTATGAACAAAGGAATCTTTAGGCCATCAAGGAAGCTCTTTGCAGCTTGTCTAGTTAACCTAGCAATACCAGGGTGGTGCCCTGAGACATCCTAGTGAACAAGGAAGAATGTTACTTTCTTCGCTGGGAGACCATGGAGAGTCTTCAAAGTGTGTAGCCAAAATTTTGTTGGTTTTAGAGCACATACATTGAATGATTTTGCTGGAGTTGTTGGGCCAGGAGGTCATAGAAAGTCCAGCTATGCTTCCCTAGACCCTGCTCTCAGGGCCTCTTACAACTTCCCTACTCAATCACAGTGTTAGGGATCCACCTTGTTAAGCTTCCGTGTTCCAGTAAACACTAACTGTTATGATATAAAATGAGGAGGACAGGTGAAAAATGATTTCAAAATCTGTGTGTGTGTGTTTCCTGTCCTCGATCAGGATGAGAATGAAAAAAATCAGGTCTTAAGACACTGCAGAGTTTAATCAGGAAACCAGAATCTACTCTAAGTATTTTAAATAGAGGCTATTTAATAGAGGGAATTGCTTAAGCAGGTGGTGAAAGTTCTGGGAAGCCAAACAAAGAGCAGTGAAGGAATCCAGAAGTCAGCAACAGCAGGAGGCCACCAGTCCCCTAGGCTGGGGGATCAGAGGAAGGAGGGACATTAGTAGAGCTAGGAGATGGGTCACCCAGCGCCCACAGTGGTCATGTGTAGTGGTGTTCGGAGCCTTGTTAGAGATGCAACAGCTACTGAGATGCCCCATGAGGCAAAGGGAGGAGAGAGATACCCTGGCTTCTCCCTTCTTCCCACTCAGTCTTTTTCTAATGCTGTCTGTCCTTCAGCCAAACTCGCCAGCAAGCCTGGAGTACACAATCTGCAGGGGTTGGTTCCTGAATGATCAGCACGGTGGAAGGAGGAGGGGTGGATTTGACTGGCACATCACCCCATTGGGAAGATGGCAGGACTGCCTCTTTGTTGTCAAACATGGAATTCACTGAACCATGGGAACTCTGGCCCATCAGCTTGACCACCGCAGTAGGGCAACTTTTCTTTTGAACCGTTTGTTTGCTTCAGTGTGATAAGCCATGATCATTAATACAGATAAGGCAAATGCACACCTTTATCAGAAACCGCTGTGCTTGGCCACCTACCCTTTGCGGCTGCCTGGGGCAGTGGTTCTGGTAGAGGTTCAAGTGGCATTAGAGGCCTTTTGAGAACCACCAAGAAAAGGACCACACCTTCCAGAGATCCTCCTCTGGCCTGGGCTTGTGAAACTGGGATGGAAACTGTTTATTAAGCTGTATTTGTTCTTCCCAAAGAAAAACATGCCTTTGAAGAGCTGTACCTACTTATACTATTTAGCTAATATATTGACCTAATATGGTCAAGAAAATATAGCAATTATTAGAATAACAATCCATCTATAAAGTGCATCCTTTATGGGAAAAACAATTCATGTTGAGAATTGTAAGCTTTCCATTTTCTATACTGATCCTCTCCTTCCCATGGGACCCATGTTGTGAAAGCCAGGCCTTGTTCTCTTTCTCCGGGGACCCCCTACCCTGTCTGCTTACACTTAGTTTCTGGTACTACGTGTTGTACTAGGCTCATCTTGTATGTTTGCTGCTCCAGTCCTGGAAACAGTCACTTCTCTAAAGAGCCCTGGATCCTTATTTGGAGAACAGTTTTAGAAACTAAGATCTGGCTGCTAGATGTGCTCAGTTTGACCACTTTTAATCTATCTATCCATTTCCTAAACATACACCTTTCCCCAGTGCTAACTGTGGGCAAGACTCTGGAGCAGACAAGACAAATGAAGTGGAAATAATTCTATTACTCCATGATCCCCGAGAAATGCTGCCCAAGAGGTATGAATAGACCTGCATGGTAATTGGAAGGTGGGAGGAGATTCCTAACTGGAGAGCTATGTCACAGATGTCTTTGTTGCTGATTCTAGACTTTACCTCCCCTCTTCTAGGGTCAAATCTTAGTAGCTTGGTTCATATCTACCCTTCCACATTGAAAATCCATAATACCAGCTTGATCTGAGTTTGAATTTTGGCTCTGCCACTCACTAGCTATGTGACCCGGAGCCAGTGTCTTAACTGCACTGCACCTCGGTTTCTTCATCTGTAAATTGGGGATAGTGATGCCAATAGGACCCACCTTTAGAGGCCTTGGGAAGATTAAGCAGAAGGCATGTGGAATGCTTGGCATCGTGTCTGACACAGTCAGGCACAACAGATGCTGGCAAACAGAGCAGCAGTGATAGCTGATGCCCCTCTTGGGGCAACACTATCTTGAGCATCAGCTGATATTTAAGACAGAGATGCAGAAGAGGCTGTAATTCATACAGGTTGTAAAGGCAGAGCCAAAGAAGTGGCTGTGGAACGGGCTGACTCTGGCGTCACAGTCTGGTCTGTCCTGCAGATGAGGTTGTTTTTGAGAAGCAAACCGTAAACGATGGAGGGCTTGGGGTCACTTGGCATTTGGTGGCTCAGCACAAACTCTAGCACCAGGAGGTGAGGCATCTGCTGCCAAAAAGTCTCCGTGATTCAAGCTTATCAAAATGCATTAGCAGGGCCTCCAGTGTCAACATATGCTTGGTGTTCCAGAAGGGATCTTTGTGCTAGGGTTTCCACCCCAGAGCTGCTCCCCCAGATGGTGGTGATGAGCCTAACAAATGGTTTCTTGTTCTGGAAGGAAAACAAGATCTAAACTAAGCTGCTTCAGAGACGCTTGAGACCTTTTAGAAGCAGGTGAAGCATAGATATCATGAACTTTCTTTTGGGTTAGGTAGATCCCTAAAGCATTAAAATATGGAAGTTGTGGGTGTCCCATTTAGTGTTTTTCTCTCACTTAAGAAGCTTCTAGAGCAGTGATGCTCAAGGTGTGGCTCTTGGACCTGCAGGACTAGCAGCAGCATCTAGGAACTTGTTAGAAACACAAATTCTTGGGTCCCATCCCAGACCTACTGACTCAGAAACTCCGGAGGAGAGCCCTGCCTCCTTCCACTGACACATAGGTTTTTTTTTAGAGTTGCAATCCAGCACCCCCACCCCTTGATATTTACCCAAAGGAGTTGAAAATTTACATCCACAGAAAAACCTGTACATGCATGTTTATTGTAGCTTTATTCATAACTGGCAAAAAGTGGAAGCAACCAAGATGTCCTTCAGGAGGTGAACGCATAATGTGGTACATCCAGAAAATAGAGTATTATTCAGCAATAAAAAGAAATGAACTACCAAACCATGAAAAGACATAGAGGAAACTTAAATGTGTATCACTAAGTGAAAGAAATCAATCTGAAAAGGCGATGTACTGTGTGATTTCAATGGTATGATATTCTGAAAAAGGCGAAATGATGGAGGCAGTAAAAAGGTCACAGGTGTTCAGGGGCTGAGAGAAGGGAAGGCTTAAAAGGTGGAGCACAGAGGATTTTTAGGGCAGTGAACCTACTCTGTATGATACTCTAAGGGTCTAATGTATTGTCATTATACATTAATCCAAACCCATAGAATGTACACACAAAGAATGAGCCATAATCTAAACTATGGAATTCAGTTAATAATGATATACCAATATTAGCTCATCAGTTGTAATAAATGGACCACATGAATGCAAGATGTCATGAATGCAAGCGCCCTGTGGCAGTTCCAGCCAATGAGATGTGAGCAGATGTTGTGGAGTGAGGCTTCTAGGAAAACTCTTCAAAAGAGGACAGAAAAAAAATGTAGAGTGGGGAGAATAAATTGACATGCATCGTTTGTCCTCTGTTCTTCCCTTTCTTTTGCCTGGAATGCTGATGCAATGCTGGAGGTAGAGTTGCCATCTTGTAGCCATGAGGTGACTGTGAATGCAAAGGCTGCAAACTAAGGATAGGGATTCAGAAAGCTAGAAGAAATGTCACTTCTAGAGGGTGTTGTGCAGCTACCCTACCAGTCCTGAACTACTTACCACTGAACTTTTTTACATGAAAAACAACAACAACAGAAAAACCTGCTAATTTGTTTAAGTTGATATTTTTGGAGTTTCTGTTACTTGCAGTCAAATCCAATGTCTAACTGAATGGGAGGTATATTCAGTCTACACTAGTGGTTGTGAGTACAGACTTTGAGATCTAACAGATCTAGTGATATATTTTGCTCTGTGCTTCCAAAGATACTTAGCTTTGGATACTTCATCTGTAAAATGAACTCAATAACAGTTCTGACCACTGTATTGTTTTCAGGATTATCTGAAAGAATAAGTAAGTGCTATTAGCACAGTGCCTTGCACATATTAAAAGCTGAATGGATGGTAGCCCAAGACTGGAGTTGCCTCCCACTATAGATATAGGGTGCATTGTCAGATGCAAGAACTTTAAAAAATAGAGCAGGATCTGGCTGCAATGTGTCTTGGACACTCTGAATATGGTA